TTTCATTGATTTACATATGGCTATCCAGCTTTCCCAACACTGCTTGCCAAAGAAACTGTCTTTTCTCCATTGTATTGTTTCGCCTCCTTTGTCGAAGATTAATTGACTGTAGGTGTGTGGGTTTATTTCTAGGCTCTCTCTTCTGTTCCATTGATCCATATGTCTGTTTTCATGCCAGTCCCCTGCTGTTTTGATTACTGTAGCTCTGTGGTATTGTCTGAGGTCTGAGAGCGTTATTCTTCCAGATTCATTGTTGAGACACTTTATCTTAACTTGTCTAACCTCACGATTTGTGGAAACTGAAATTTCTCTTCACAATTTCTGCTAATTATTTATTTGTGTTGGGAAAGGGGGAGGAATTTTTTTTATGCTCTTGTGGTTTTCTTTGCCTCCAGCATATTGCATTATGATTCTGTTTTGATCACATCAATTTAGATGTAAAACACAGCCTTTTCATTGGTTCCCCCCACCCCCAGGAATTGCATTCTCATCACAATTTTATGAGTATTTTTAACCTTTATTAATTTGGAGCGTGGTGGGATTATATCAAGGGACACATTAGCTATGGCCATTTCACCAGGTTTACTCACCCTTGTCTCTTCTAATCTCTGTTTTTACTTTTCCTCCAGTATTGTCCCCAACAGCTTCTTCTGTATGTAGAGCAGTTCATATTTTCCCAGATCTTTCTCTCAGACTTGCATATCCAGATTCATGAGTGCTTAGCAGAACCAAGGACCTTTCATATACCACTTATATATTTATTCAAGAAGTTCAACAAGTAGTTTCTTAGCATCTATTAAATTACAGATACTGGTTGGTATTGGGTATATAATTGTGAAATATGCAGATAAAATCTCTATTTTGAAGGAAATACAAGCAAACATTAGTTAGGGGTCTGTCTGCCTCCAAGTGGGATGGAAAAGTTCTTCATAGCCTAACATTCAAACTGCAAAAATTAGAAGAAACCAGATAAATAATATTTATCAGATGACTAAAGAAGCAATAAGGACTAGATTATTTTCAATTCTGAAAAATAGGTAATCCTTCCTTTTGATTCTATGTTAAACTTTCCATCTCTCTGCTTACATTATGCATTTGTTCTAGCGTATTAATCATAGTTATTTTGTATTACCAACCTGATAATTGCAAAATCTCTGCCTAATCCTTATCTGGTTACCTTCCTTCCTTTGTCTGTCCAACTGTGTTTTGCCTTGCCTTTTAGCATGCCTCAAACCCTTTTTACTAAAAGCCAGACATCACATATTAGTTAACAGGAACTGATGTGATTATTTCTTAAGTATGAGGGTTTTTTTTTCTGGTTAGGAATTACACTGTTACTGTTTGCTGTAGCTGTAGTTGTCAGAGGCTTTGATTTCCTCTAGTGTCCTTGTATTTTCTTGCCCTCTATTATTTTTGTGTTTCCATAGAGACTCCTTCTTAAATATTGCCTGAGCCCTGTGGTTCTTTCTGCTATAATCCCATAGTTATACATGAGCCCTGTTGACATAGTGGTAAGGTGCAGGGGGAGGGAAAGTGTTCTATAATCTCATGACTAGCTGTAAGTCTTTTAGAAGGCCTGTCCCTGGACTGACCTTCACAAGTGCTGCTCAGCTCTCCCTCACCTCCCTAACTGACACAGGAAGACTTGAGGGGGATGGAGTTGGATATTTTCCTTCCCCTATGTTTGATTAAGCTCTGATAAAGGAATTTCCCTTGAGGACAGGCCTTTGTTACTTAGAAAAGAACATTCAGCATATTTAGAAACTGTTTCTTTTACCATGAGGTATTTCAAAATGGTTACTCCCCCTTTCTCCGCTTACTGGAAGCACAAGGGTATTTTTTGTAGTCTTTATCAAGAGAACCTGGTAGGGCTCCTGGAAGTTAAACTAAGGAAAGTATGCAGATTTCTTAAAATTTGGCTCCCTAGGGGTTTTTAACTTTTAAGCTAGCTCACACTCAGCCTTCAGAATTTTTTCAATTGCCATTTGTGTTCTTGCCAGTTGTTGGCTCCACTGGCTTCTGCTCTCAGTAAACTGTGGTTCTCTGCATCTGCCTATGTCTCCAGTTTTTGAGGCATTGGCTTGCTTGGTGACCTCAACTCTCCAGTGTATCTAAGAACTATTGCTTTTCAGTTTGTTTATTTTTTTTTTGTCATAGTGAGAATGAGTGGTAACTTCCAAGATCTTTACATATAGGAGAAGACTATATTTTTATTAGTTTCTTGAGCATGCTAAATTTCAGTTTGAAACTTAGAAACTGTATGACCTCAGAGATTTGATTATTGTTTACAAGGGAGTACCTTCTACCAAAGTTCAGTAATGTTTAGGTACTCATCTACAGGTTTTTGCTTTTTGTGTGTTTCTTCTACTACTAGAAGTTTTCTCTCATGAGAGCAAGTCTGTGTCAGTCTTATTCATAAATGTATTTATGGTACCTTACACAATGGATGAAACATCATAGATAGAGTAAATATTTGTTGAATAAGTGGATTGATTGGCATTGATAAGTGACTGATGACTTTTATTAGATAAGTCAGAGGAAGATGTTAAAGGTAAGTAAGTCTCAAGTTTCTGGCTTGTACATTTAGGTAGATAATGGTGCAACCTACTCAGGTAAGGAATTTAGCAGGAGGAGCACATTTTCAGATGTGGTAATGAATAGAGTTTGAAGTTCCTATAAGGCAACTAAGTATAATGAGTTACCAGCATAAAGTTCTGGAACTTGTGAGAAAGACATTGACTGGAGTAGATTGTGCCATTATCAGCATCAAGAAAATAATTGGATCAAAGTGGGACCAGGTGAGATTGTTCAGAAGTTTTATGGACCTACTTTGAACTTTTATCCATATATTACTTCCAAGTATTGTTTATTTTTCACAATTTTGTACCTTTTGTACTTTGATTTTTACTTTTGAGGTTAATGGTCTGTTTTTTCTTCTCTGGATAATTGATATAAATGCTTGTCCTTTATAAGTAATAATAATAGATGTAAAGTTTGCATTTGTTATTTTTTCTTTTCACAGGAATTCACATTACAAAATATGACCACAGTAGCAGTTCAAGACTTGTCTTTGAATATGTATGAGGGGCAAATCACTGTTCTCCTAGGACATAATGGGGCAGGAAAGACTACTACCTTATCTATTCTCACAGGTATATATTCAGGGTTACTTGGAGCACAGATACTGTGGATCAAGCTTTGACGCTTCTGCATACTCTTCTTGACATTGACATCAATGTCATTAAATGATACTTAATGATTGTTTATTAAATCCACTCTCTTCTTAAAGTGAGAATCATTTATTATTAAGTATAAAATTAGTATTTTTTTTTTCCTCAGGTGCATCAAACTTCTCACTTTGTAGTGTACCATCCTCACTGGTCAATTCAAAGACTCTTAATTTTCATTTGTTGTTTCCTTTAAGTTTCCTTTTATTTTACTCTTCCTTCAATTCTCCTGTTCTCTTCATAGGAAACCATTCTAATTTGTCTTATGTACATTGTTTTTATTGTGAAATGTGTATTATATATTCTTACAAATGCATTTTCAAAATATAACCAAGTTGAAATATTTTTAGTGATCCCACTCATGCCTACTGCCTAGATTCTGCCATTTTAACGTATTACTATACTTGTCACATACCTTTTAATCCCATTTTTAGGCATCTGAAAAATTAACTTTAGACATTAGTATTTCTAAACAAATATGCATATCACTAATTAAATTTTTTCTTTTGGAGTAAAATTTTATTTTGATGAAATGCTTAGATTTTAAGTATTTGCCCCCTGAATTTTGATGTATGCATACATCTGCATAATTCAATTGCCTATTAAGATAGAGAACTTCACTATTATCCCAGAAAATGTCCTCATTGCTCAGGTGATCCACTTGTAATTCGTAACAGCCAGTATATTTCAGATGAAGCAAAATTTTGTATCATCAGTGCATATTGTTATGCCAGGTATTTGGATAGAAACTGAGAATACAGTGGTGAACAGGAAGTCCTTCCCTTCAAGGATTGTACAGTTGAATGAGGATACTGATGAGTAAATAGGAATTTTATAACAGGACTTGAGAAGTAATAAAATAAAGCTTGAGTATTAGGTGCCATCCTGCCATCTTGATATAATACTGTTTAGGTCTGTGGGCAAAGGGGAAATCTAATTTGAGGTTGGTACAAGGTGTAATCATGAAAGGAGGGGTAGATGCATATTCCAAGGATACTCAGCGGTCAAGAAGTAAGAGGATAGGGAATATTATATGACTAGAGAACAGAGAGAGAATAAAAATGACAAAAATGATACTAGAATGTCAAGTAAAAGGCTGGAGCAAGGCTGAGTTTCCCATTGTGGATCAACTAGAAGCAGCCTTACCTTTGAGGCATGGAACCATGCGAAACAATAACTCCTTATCAGTTTCTGTCTTTGGACTGCCCCTGAACATTAGTTAAAGCCCTTATTTTAGGCAGTACTTCCCAATTAATGCCATATAATTATTACTGAATCATTGTTATCATTGCCATCAGTATCATATTAACTACCATTTATTGAATGTTTCTGTATATTTTATCCTGGAACATACTCCATGATTTATGTTTCATGCAAGTGATGGTCCCCAAAGATACATTCATGTTTTAATCCCTGAAGCCTATGAATTTTATACACACACACACACACACATATATACATATATGTAAAATTATGAAATAATCTTGGTTATCTGGCTGAACCCAAATGCAGTCTCTACTGTCCCTATAAGTGAAAGGCAGGGAGAGATTATAGATGGGCAGAAGAGTACAGGACACACAAAAGACAGAAGGCAATGTGGAAATGGACCCAGATAACCGTCCATTGTCCAGAGTATTGCTCTACAGGGTAAGACATATTAGCAGCCACCAGAATCTTTAAGAGGTGAAGAATGGATTTTCCCTTAGACTCTCTGTTGGGAGTGTGGAACTGCTAACATGTTGATTTCAGTCCACTGATACTGATTTCAGACTCTGGTCTCTCCAGAACTGTGATAGAAGAAACTTCTGCTGTTTTAAGACTAATTTTGCGGTCATTCGTTGCAGCAGCCATTGGAAACCAATGCACCTGTTATCTCGGAACACACATCATGCACTTCCTTTGTGTGCATGCTCATTCCCTTTCCCTCACCAGGAATTCCTGGTCCACCACTCCACCTTTTGAAATATTCTCCTCTTCCATGAAGATCCACCTCCTGATCCCCTCAACCAGAATTAATCACTCTTACCTCTGTTTGGTAACTGAGATATGTCCCAAGAAGTTAGAATAGTTCCTTACAAATAATAAGTTCTCAGTAAATACTTGCAGAGTGAATTAATTCCATCGTGTATCACAGTTGTTGAGTCACCTGTTTCCTCCATTAGATTTAAGTTTTTTGAGGAAAGCATCATGTCAGTAATTTTTTAAATGGCAGTTTTTTAATTGAGGTAACGTTAATACAACATAAAATTCACCATTTTAAGTTTCCAGTTTGGTGTCCCGTGGTACTCTCACACTATCGTGCAACTATTATGTCTGTCTAGTTCCAGAATGTTTTTGTCTCTCCAAAAAGAAACACTATGTTTTAGCCATCACCTCCTCAGTTTCCCGTCCTCCCAGACCCTGACAACTACTAAGCTAATTTCAGTCCCTATAGATTTGACTAATATGAATATTTCACATACATGTATCTCCCAGATGGACTGGCCTGTGATACCAAATGTTCAGGAATGGCTGTATTATTGAGCACGTTTCCCACGGCCGCCTATGCTGAAGGGAGTTAACTGTTCATAGCGTCAGCGGTCTAATCTTACTTTATTGCATCACAGAGTGCCCGCATACTTTTCCTGAGAAAAATGTGTTAGAAAACACTGTAAGCATCCCTCTTTCACATGCCATATATTGAAGTGTGGTAACTCTATTGCAATATGTTTCCCATGTGCCACTAGGCAAAACAATGCCAGAAGTTGGATGTACAAAGTAGAGGCATCCCAACCCATACCCTGCCCTTCTTTATTTTAGTATCAACATTAATGATGACACTTTGTTAAAAATGAAAAAATCTGGGACAGATGTTAAAAGAGGTAGAAAGCTTAGACAATGGTAGTAAATGGGTGGGAGCATTTAGTCACCCTAAATGTGTTGGACAGTCTTGAATACATCTTCCTCTTCAAAGTGTGTTTTGTAAAATAGAATTAATGAGTCGTGAAATTTAAGGAGTCTTGTGGCTACATTTATTGTGTTAACAGATGTTTCACCATAAAACTTGTTCAGTTGCCATCTGTACATAAATGTTACATATCTATTTTTAAACTATTTTATATGATCCTATTTTATCATCCAGCTAGATTTTTAACTTCTTGAGGATAAGAATCCTGTGTTCTAAATTTTTCATTTTTAAAAAAACAAAGTCTACCAAAGTGTTTATAATGCAGTGTTCAGATCATAATGTTTCACATCTGTCGTCAAATGGCAGACAGCAGCAGTAGAATATTGGAGCAGAAGATTCTTCAAAACATTTTTTATTATTCGAGTAATTAATATTTTATACTCATTGGAAACTAGATTATGTGAATTTTTAAAAAAGGGAAAAAAAAGTTTTCCCATCATCAGAAGTTACCATATTTGACCAGATGGTTTTTCTCTATGGTGATAATTCTTTTGAGTAATCCATAAATAAATCATTAAATTGAGCTGCTAATGAACAGCATATCGTCAGATTCTCTCACTGAAGATGAGCGTCTGCTTAATTCTAGGTTTCTATCGTCCTACCAGCGGAAAGGTATATATTAATGACTATGATGTGTCAAAAGACATGCTTCAAGTCAGAAAAAGCTTGGGCTTGTGCCCCCAGGATGACATATTGTTTCCAGACTTGACAGTATCAGAACATCTCTATTTCTACTGCATGGTGAGCCAGAGATAGATTCTTTTCCCCGACTCTTTTCGTATGCTTCAGACAGTGTGACCAAGGATCAACACCTTTACCCTTATTTAGTGGAAGTTCATTTTTGGGAGACATTGTTCTTTTACCATAAAGGAGGGGTGGAGGGCAAAGAGAAGAAAAAGTCTTATATCTAGATGATTCTGTAAGAAAAGTTCTGATGTGAGATTTTTCTAAGGATAAAATTGAAAGCACCATGTGAACTCTAGCTTCTCTTTCTAGATAAAAGGAGTACCTCCAGAGATTCGTGTCAAAGAAATTGACACTATGCTGGCTGCTTTTGGCCTGCTAGAAAAGCGTCATGCCTTTTCACAGTCACTGAGTGGAGGAATGAAGCGCAAACTGTCCATCATTATAGCACTTGTAGGAGGCTCCAAGGTAAAGAACAGTTAACATGGGTCCCTGCCCCAGGTGATATGCCAAACTCAGCTGACACAAACCTATGAGCTGATACGAATCTAACTCTCTAAAAGGAACTTCCCAAATGGTAATTCCCATTGCTGACCCAGCTGATACAGTGTGGTTTGGGGGTTTTAACTTACTATTAATTTTTCAGAGTCTTGTCTAGATTACATATTTTAGCTTAAATATGTCCCCCATGAGTAGTAAGTTATCCCATAAGCAGCATAACATGAATTAATTACAATCATGGAATTGTTCTTCTGGTCTTTAGGTGGTGATACTTGATGAGCCAACATCTGGCATGGACTCAGTCTCAAGGAGATTCACTTGGGATGTCCTTCAGCAGCATAAACAGGGTCGTACCATCCTACTGACAACCCACCACATGGATGAAGCTGACATCCTGGGAGACCGTATAGCTATCATGGTCAAGGGATCCCTGAAATGCTGTGGCTCTTCAATTTTCCTGAAAAGAATTTATGGTATCTCTTCCCTTGATCATAGTTTGTATTCTAATGACTTAATAATATTCTCTAAGAAGATTTTTGTTCCTCTACACAAGTCTTTAAAACTTACGTCTTACTGCCTTAAGTCTAAGTTATTTAAATTGGCTATTTGTAACTTAGACATATCATATCCAATAATTTTTCATTATGATCCAGTAAGTATATTCTAACTTAGAAAATACTCTTTTACTGATCCCACGAAAGTTATGTATATTTCTCTCATCTGGCTTCTACTGAAGCTGTTATTTGTTGCTGGAACAAAGTAATGCTTCCAAGGGATTTGGTACATAGATTTATGGATTGTAGGGGAGAAAATCAGTGACTAGGTATTTCTGACCACTTTTTCTCTGTTGCAAAATTAGTATCACCTCCCTCCAGTGTAATTAGTTAAATGCTTTCTAGTTTATTTTCATGAAACAATCCTGAAATGTAGCAGTTGATCAGCAAGAATTTATTGAGCAGGAAATAAATGAATGGTGGAATAAAATAGTCTTGACTTTAATGAGTATATGGTCTGATTAGTCAGTAAGATTAGTGCATTAAAAATGAGCAATATAATATCATATATAATTGAATTCTGAAATAACATGCACGGCTCAAACCAGTAAGTGTATGAGGGCTTCAGAATTGGAGGATACAAATCAATGAGAATAGTTAAGTCTGACATCATTCCATTAATTATTAATTTAGTGTTTAAATATATCCATTCAACTGACATTTATTATGAGTGAATTATGTTTCATGTTTACACACATTTACCTCATCTACTTTTCATAACCTCACCATTTTTATGGAGCAGGAAACTTGGGTTCATACCAAAGTAACTCATTCAGACCATACAGTAAGTGGCAAAGATTTGGTCCTGGGTTCTTCTGACACCAAAGCCATGCTTTGCATTCTAATATGCTGCGACTTGCCCTTTACTCTTTACCTCAAAGAGGATGTTGGGTTTTAAATAGTAAATTTGGTGAATTTCAGAAGTAGAGAGACTCATACTATTGAATATTTTTTCACTTACATGTGGGGATATAGAAGTTGATATTCCTATAGTAAGTGAGTTGTAGACACAAAATTGTTACCTAAGTATACTGAATATCCATAGAGTGCTTTCCGTTACAGATCTTAAAAAGGTGATGGAGGAAAGAACACCTCTTTTTTTAGGGGAGTACATAAATAAGTACTAAAAGCATGAGGATAAAAATGGATCTTTTTTTTTTTTCCGCTGGGACAGTGAGGAAGTCAGCCTGGATCAGAAGTTCTGGGAGAGGATGAATGAGAAATTAAGTTTGATGGTCAGGGTAGTAAATGGAAAGGCACTGAAAACAAGACTGATTTGTCACTTGATGTGTGAATGCATGTATAAGATAAATTTAGGAATATAGAATTCAGAAGTTTTTTTCAAGAAGTAACAGAAAGCCAACCTAAAATGATGCATGCTAGAATAAGAATAAGGGCAGCAAGACAGGAAAAATAAGGATGTGTGTTTATATACATACATACGTGTGTGTGTGTGCACAAAATCCTGAAAGGATCAGAAACGCTTGACAACCGAAGTCCATGTAGCCCATTCTCTCATGATGAAGGGAAGACTTTCTAGTACAGTGAGTTGAAATTTTGCCGTTTTCATTCATTAATACAGTGAGGTAAAGTTTCCACTTTAGTGACATATCCCTGAAATGTGGCAAATGAACATTAAGTATGTAAAGAATGATGGCAGGAAGGAAAGCCAAAAAGATATAAAACAATAAAAATTTAATAAGGTTAAATTTTGGTAAGAACATGAAACCAGTATATCCCAAAGATTAAAGAGTCAGAAACTGACTAAGAGGAATGAGTTGAAAGTAATTTGAAGGCCACTTGTTCTTAAGCACAATAATGATGCCTCTTAGAAATAAAATTTTTAACAAGCAAGATCCTATGTTTTTGGTGGCAGAGTATATTATGTGTTTAATTTGGGCAGATTGCGTTTTTAAAATTTTGGTCTTCTAAATGGGTCTTTTCAGGTGTGGGATATCACCTGATTATGGTAAAGGAACCTCATTGTAATGTTAAGGAAATCTCTCAACTGATTAATCGTCATGTACCAGAAGCCACATTGGAGAATAACGTTGCAGCTGAACTATCATTTATCCTACCAAAAGAGCACACGCACAGGTATGGATCCAGAGAATGTTAGATAAATGGTTTGGGGTTTTCAGAAATCACTGTTACTTTTCTAGGTTTCCTCAGGCTTGACAAATAGATTCTTTTTAGTTGCCAGTTGACAAGTAATAGTCAAAAAATTTACTTCCTGGAGATTTCACTATTTGTACAGAGGGAAGTCACATAACTTAGACTTCATTTTTGTTTGTCTTGATATCTCTTTATTTCTGTTTCTTACAGGCTGATGTTAAGTGGTAAGAAATGATAAGCTATTGGCAGAAATTTTTTTCTTTGTGAGCAAAATCAAGTGAATTGCTAAGATAAGAGGAAAAGTGGTCTACATGGCAGCTCTTGGAGCCAGGAGCCCTAGAAACTATAGGAAACAGGCAGTTTGACAGCAATAGTTAGCCAAGTTAGTTATCAAAAGTGAAAGAAGGAATAATAATTGTACCTGGGATGTTTATCTTGACTAAGGGATGAGGGAAATAAGAGTATTTATCATAAACTTTGTGCCAGTTTTATCTTTTTGCAAGTTGTAGTCACTACAACTAGGTTGATATTCCCCTGAAGAAAACTGATTGCCATTCTCAAAAGGAGATAAACAGAGGGGAACTTCTTTAACTTGTAAACCTAAAACTGCTTTCAAAAAATATAGAGTATTAAAAATGACTCAAGAAAAAAAATACAATTAGAGTCCTAATAAGTAAAAAGATTGAATTAGGAATCAGAAAACTTTCCCAATGAAAACAGTAGGTTCAACTGGCCTCAGTAGTGAGTTCTACCAAATGTTTAAATAAAAATTAATACCAACTTTCCACAAACTGTTCCAAAATAGTAGAAAGAACCCAATCCATTCAATGTGGCCAGTATAACCTTATGGTAAGACCAAAGACAAAGACAAGAAAACTACAGACCAATATAACTTTTGAATACAGAGTCAATCAAAACACTAGTAAATTCAATCCATGAGCACATGAAAGAGATTATACACTATGACCTAGTCAGATGTATCCCAGGAACGCAAGGTTGGTTCAACAAGCAAAAATCATCAATGTAAACACCACATTAATATTATAAAGGATAAAAACCAAATGTCATCCCAATGGGTGCAAAAACACATTTAACAAAATCCACACCCTTTCATGATAAAAACACTCAACAAACTAGGAACAGAAAGAGTGTTTCTCAACTTGATAAAAAGCATCTATGAAAAACCCACAACTAACAGCATATGTAATAGTGAAAGACTAAAAGCTTTCCCCCCAAATCAGAAACAAGCCAAGGACATCTGTTTTGCTGCTTGTACTAAACATTGTACCAGAAGGCAACTAGGGAAGAAAGATGAATAAAAGCATCCACACTGGAAAGAAAGGAGTAAAACTATCTATATTCACAGATGATGTCTTGTGTGTAGAAAATCATAAAGAACCAACTTGAAAAAAAACTATTAGAACTAGTAAGCTTTCAGCAAGGTTGCAAGATGTTAAGTGTAATATACACTAACAATGAGCAATCCAAAAATGAAATTAAGAAAACAATTCCATTTACAATACCATCAATAACAATAAGATAGGAAAAATTAGACCATAGAATTGCAAGATTTTTACACTTTTTGAGAACTATAAAAAATCACTGAAAGAAGTTTAAAAAGACCCAGGGAAATAGAAAAATAGCCTGCATTCATGGATTAAGATGGCAGTACTCCCCAATGGAAGCTACATATTCAACATAATCCTTATAAAAAAAATCTCAGTTGTCTTTTTTCCAAGAAATTAACAAACTGATTCTAAAATTAATATGGAATACAAAGGTTGTTAAATAGCCAAAACAATCTTGGAAAAGTACAAAGTTGGAAGACTCATATTTCAAAATTTACTACAAAGTTACAGCAGCCAAACTGTGTGGTACTAGAATAAGGATATACATGTAGATAAATAAAGTAAATCAGAGTCCAAAAATAAGCTTTTAAATAAACTTGTTTTTTTAAAGGGTGTAGAAACAAATGAATTGGGGGAAAGAATGGACTTTCTAACAAATGATGCTGGGACATTGAGTAGCCACATGCAAAAGAATGAAGTCGGACCCTTATCTCACACCATACATAAAATGTTAATTCAAATATATCAGAAGCCTAAATATAAGAGTGAAAACTCTCAGAAGAAAATATTGGCATAAATCTTTGTAACTTTGGATTAGGCAGTGTTTCTTAGATATGACATGAAGGCTTCAACACAAGAAACCCAAGGAAAATACATAAATTGGACTTCATCAAAATTAAAAACTTTCCACATTAAAGTACACTATTAAGAAAAATCAAAGACAGCCCAAATAATCAGGAGAAATATTGTAAATTTTATCTATCAGATAAGGGACTAGTATGCAGAGTATATAAAGTACCCTACAATTCAATCATAAAAGACAAACAACCCAATTTAAAAGTGGGTAAAGGATTTGAACAGATGTTTCTCAAAAGAATATATGTGTATATATATAAGTAGCCAATAAGCATATGAAAACTCGCTCAATATTATTGGTCATCATAGAAACAAAACCACAGTGAGATACCACTTCACACCCGCTGGAATGGCTGTAACAGTAATTTTTTAAGAAACAGAAAATAGAAGTATGAGCAAGGATGTGGCGAAATCAGAACCCTGATATATTGCTGCTGGGAATATAAAATAGTGTAACCACTTTGGAAAATCACTTGGGAATCCCTCAAAAAGTTACCACAAGATCCAGCAAATCCACTTCTAGATATATACCCAAGAGTGTTGGAAATAAATGTTTACACAGTAGTTCATGGTAGCATTATTGATAATAGCCAAAAAGTATTAGCTACCCAAATGTCCACTGATTCATGTACGAATAAATAAATTACAGTGTAGCTTGTATAATGGAATATTATTTAGCCATGAAAACTGATTTTTAATCTCCTTTTTGTGATCATGTTCACTCCTTAGAATATAGTAGAGGTAGGTTCAAGGACTGAATGTGTTTCTGGAGTAGATGATCTTCTAAACCAGAGAAACTGAGAAATACCAGAAAAAACTGTTCTTCAGAAGCCTTGATGTCATCACATCACATCTGTCTGAAATGGCACAGTTTCCCAGGTTATTTAAGTGAACAGTTCTCTCCCAGTGCCTAGTTTCTATTATTCTTACTTCATTTTTCGGCCTTGAGTGTCCTCTGCCTCTTAATTTGAAAACATTTTTCCTTTTTGATTTCGTGGTTCATAGGAGCTATAGCATGTATTAAGTAAATTAAATCTTACCTAGCAATGAATGTTAATATACAGAGGAAGTCAACTGATAATTTTATCAGAAAACAATTTGTGATAGCAATTTGATAGTTTTTTCTCTTTATATGTTCCACATTTCTTATTTATCAGGGGCATGGAAACTGTAATAAAGCATTGCAGTAAAGAATAAGCTACATTTTCCCCACTGCTGAAGGTAACAAAAATATTAATATGAATATCATCTGCTTGGTACTAGCTTTTTCTCTTTTTTTTCTCCTTCTTCTAGGTTTAAAGACTTATTTACTGATCTGGAAGACAGACGGGAAGAGCTGGGCATTGCTAGCTTTGGTATCTCTATTACTACTATGGAAGAAGTTTTCTTCAGGTAAGGGAATACTTGGAAACTCATTCTATCAGGTCAGAATTACCCTGATATCAAAACCAGACAAAGTTATTATAAGAAAAGAAAATTACAGATCAATATTTCTCATGAACATAAATGCAAAAATTCTTAAGATTTTAACAAATCAAATTTAACAATATGTTTAAAAAATAAAATTGATAATGCATCATAACTAAATGGGGTTATCCCAGAAATACAAAGTTGGTTTACCATTTTAGCTTTCAAAAATCAACGTAGTGTAATTAATTAATGTAACTTTTAAGAAACTGAAAAAGAAAGCCAATTAATCATCTCATTACATTCAGAAAAAACATTTGACAAAATCCAATTTCCATTCCAATAAAAACTTGCATTAATACAGGAAAGGAACGGAATGTTCTCAAACTATAAAGGTCATCACCCAAAAACTTTACAGCTAGCATCATGCTTACTGATGAGAAACTGAATGCCTTCTCCCTTAGTTTAGAAACAAGAAAGGGATGTTCCTCACCACTTCTATTTAAATTCTACTGGAGGTGTATCCATTATAAGAGGAAGAAAATGAAATATCAAAAAGTCAGTTGTTTTTCAGTATACTAGCAAGGAACAATCTGGAGTCAGACGTGCTACTGTTGGGCCACAAGGTCCTGCTAGCAAGGAACAATCTGAAATAGAAAAACAAAGCCTTTTTCAATAGCACCTAAAAATGTGAAATACTTCAGGATGAATCTGACAAAAGATGTACAGGAGCTCTACATTAAAACGTTACTGAGAGAATTTAAAGATGACTGAAATAAATGCTGTATTCTTCAGTAAGACAATTTGATGTTTTAAAGATGGAAATTCTCCTCCACATTGGTCTATTGTTTCCATGCAATCACAAGCAAAATGCCAGAAGATGTTTTTGTAAAAAAATGATCAGTTGGTTATAAAATTTCTATCTCAATACAAAGGACTTAAAATGGACAAAATAATTTTGGCAATGCATATGCAGTGTTGCACAATGAAAAGGAAAGAGGAATCCTCAAATCCTGCTAATTATACAGTAAGCTGATTTGATCACACTGATAGGTAACATGGCAACATCCAGTAAGTTGAAAATGCCACAACCCAGAAATCCCACTGTTAGGTATATACTCTAGAGAAACTGTCAGATACTTGCCCAGAATACAGATCTAGAGATATTTGCTGAGGTCTGTAGTAGCAAAATAATGAAATAATGTAATGTATAAAATATGATACCTAAGTAGTGAAATACTATATATATACTAAATATATATATTATCAGTTGAAAGGCCTGACCTAAATTTCTTTTTATACAAATGTCAACTTGAGGAGATGTAAAACGTCTAATCCTTTAGAGGAAAAAAAAATCATTTTGCAGAACTATCTGTCTAAATATACCATTTATATAAGACATTATACCATAAAACAAAACTATATGTGTTTTCGGATACTTTAATGTGTATACAAAAGTATTAGAACATACCTGACCTCTCTATTATAAAATTACTTTTTCTCTCCTTTCTCTACTTTATCTTTTGGAAGTCTGTCACTAAACACAGCCCACACTCAAGGAGAGGGGGTATTTAGCACCTCCTCGCAGAGAGAGTAGTGTCTACAAACATTATTTGCAGTTCTGCAAGGAAGATTTGTCTCTCTCCTATTTGTTCATCCAGTCCTCTATTGATATCAATGTGGACTTACAGAATACTACCTTGGCCAGGTGATCAAGATGATAGTGACATCACAGTGATATTTCATGTTAAAATCGTGTGATATGATGTGAGGAAGGAGGGTAGTTCACCTCCTTAATATTCTTCCCCAAAGCCATAGCCCCACTCTAACCATGAGAAAAACAAGACAAATCCAAACTGAGGAACATTTTAGAAAATACCTAATCAGTACTTCTCAAAACTTCTAAACTCATGAAAAATAAGGAAGGTCTAAGAAACCGTCATAGCCCAGAGGAGACTTAGGAGACATAGTGACTAAATTTAATGTGTTACGTTGGTAGGATCTTGGCAGAGAAAATGGACCTTAGTGGAAAAACTAGTGAAACGTGTACCATGGTAATAAAAGATGTTAATAATAGGGGAAACTGAAGGGTATACAGGATCTCTGTACTATCTTTGCTACTATTCTGTAAATCTGAAGCTGTTTTACAATTAAAAGTTTATTTTAAAAATATATCTGGAAGGTTACATACCAAGCATCATAGTTGGCTTGATGGAAGAGATGGGGAGAAATGGGATTGATAATCTTGTTCACAGGTGACTTAAATTCATTTGTAAAAAAAATTTTAATTGGCTCAAACTAAAAAAATGTTAAAAGTGGTTAATTACCTGAGTCAGGGAAATGGGTGTTTTCTTACATTTATTCTTTCTCTGTACAAAAACCATAAAGGAAAATATTTGGCTAAATAAAATTTAAACATTTTGTGTATGAGGGAATACTTTAACAGCATTAAAATACAAATGTTATAAAAGTTAATTATAATGAATAAGAGTGTCTACTAAACCAAAAAGAAAATATGAAAACAGTATAAAATCAAACAAATGATAAAAAATAATCCACAAAAGAGTAACTACAAATATTCAAATTAATTCAGAAGGATTAAAAATACAGACTACAAATTAAAAAAAATACCCAGTCTTGGTGAATATGCAGTGAAATAGGATGATCTTATAAAGTGACATGGGTATGTAAATTAGTATACTCTTTTTGACGATACATTTTGCTAATTTTGGCAAGATGTATAAGAAGATTTAAAATGTATATATTCTACATCTGAAATTTTGTCTTTTGTGGGTATGATATATGTGGAATAGTGTTCATCATATCATTGTTTATAATAATAATAAGTTAAAGCAATCTTAGTGACTGGTCAATAAACAGTGGTGCATCTGTACAATAAAATAAAACTCAGTCATTAGAAGTGATGAGTTATGTATACAGATAGTAAAATGAATCTATTTTAATAATTTAAAAAGCAATTTGCAAAACAATAGTTGCAGTATTGTGTCATCCTAATTTTGCATTGTATATGTGTATATATATATTTATGTTTGTGCATATTTAGATATAGAAAAATGTCACTTGGGTACATCTGAGTAATGACATCTTGATTATTTTTTTCTTTTGGTTTATTGTATTTGTAAACCTCTTCCTATTGAATATGTCTTACAAGTGTATAAAAATTAATAAAACCTACTAAAGAAGACAGAAAGAAGTCAAGGAAAAATCCATATTTGCCTTCAGTGTTATCAATTACAGTAGTACTGTAGTGGCCAGACATGGCACAAAGGCTACGTTAAACTAATATAATATTGTAAGTCAACTATGTTTCAATTAAAAAAAAAAGTTTGATAATAGGTTTATCAAATCAAAGCAGTATTTGGTGCTTATTTTGTTGTCCTGCTGAAAGAAAAGTTAAAAAGGCGTGCTAGCTCATTGGTTTGGAAAGAAAAAAATCCATTTTTTACAAATTATGAGTTTTTCATCAAGGGTTACAGAACTCCCATCAGTGGACTTAAAGATTCAAACTCCCCATTGTACTATGATTTTACTATCCTGTTTAGCATTTTCTTCCTTATATTAAAATTAAATACATATGTCTGTTTCTTCCATGGAATTGTAAGCCCTTAGAGGATGAATTAATTATGGATTCACTTGTTTTGTAAACTATTCCAGTTACTTAGATTGCCTGGAGCAGAAAATTGAGAAAACAAATCTGACATGTACTTAGAAACATTATAAAAATAAAAGCCTGCTACATAGTATCAATATCATATCTTAAAATAAAGGAGATTTAACAATCCCTCTCTCCTAAAAAAAAAAAGACATGTTCTTAGACCTTTTAAGTTCAGTTTATTTTATCTAATGTTAATGAGAATATGTATAGCTATGCTTGTTTTTTTAAACTTGCCTCAATTTGCGAAAATCTTGTGATGGATTAGGTATTTAGAAACCACTGTTCTGGTTTAAATGATTGTGTGTGTGTGTGTGTGTGTGTGTGTGTGTAGAGTCAGCAGAGCAGATACAACGGCTTTCCAGACCCTAAACGACGAAGATGAAAGTGAAGACATGGACCAGAATATGAACATACCCAGAAATTTTGAGAGATCATATTCTCCCTCCACCTTGAGTGACCATTCTAATATTAACTTTAATACTGGGGTGAGCATCTTCACTAAGAATACAATGTTGGTATATGTTTGGATGGGATAAAAGACATAGCATTTCATTTTAACATTTGAATTCAAAGGGAAGTTTGGAGTTCTCATCCAAAGAAGGCCAGGTAAGGAGTAGTCTGTAGAACAGTCCAATTAATTTTCTCATTCAAAAGTGAAATATGGTATTAAAAATTAGATTTTACTCTCATTATTATTATGATTCCTCAGAGTCACTTCTCACAGCTTTTGAAATTGTTGGCTCATTTACAGTTGAGAAAGGGTCCTATAAAAGTTATCACCACTCACACACATCAAAGCACTGAAATTTATGCATTGAAATGAATTGGTGCTTCCTAATGTACTACTCCCAAGGCAGTATGTTCCTTCCCTAGCATGGGAGATTTCACTAGACTGCAAGCATTGCTTTAATTGTTCTCCTAATTATCTATTCCCTACAATTTTCCCTAATAAAGACCAGGGATTCTGAGGTGGAAGATACGTTTCTCAGAGATGCCCGTAAACATGCCTTCACTGATGGGCTGCTGAGCCAGTTGTGAAGCAGAGTTGGTGGTGTACAGCTAGAGTATGGAATTTTGAGCCAGTTGGAACTGGAATTCCTGCTTCATTTATTAGCTATTTGACCTTGACTGAATCATTTAACATATCTGTGTGTCATTCTCTGTGAGACTGTTTTAGTGAGTGAACACTAGTAAACTATGAACTGTGGAATGTTTGGGACAAATCAAATACTTAAAAATGTAATTTTCCTCCCCTCCCTGCTTGCACATTTGCACTCTTCTCTATTTCCCTTTTCTTATAATGATGCAGATGATAAAAGATTTGCAGACCAGTCTAGAAAAGTTGATTCTTGCATTAATATGGTCTGTCATTCCAGAAATAAATCAAATAACCTGTCTTTTAAAAGCCAGAAAGCAATGTGAGAAAGAATTCTCCTTCTAAACTTTACCGTACTTCTAGTCAGTGACAACATCCAAATGCTGATTGTTTTATTCAGAAAATAACTGGTTGATGGATTAGGGATATTTTCACGCCACTAATTATGGGGTGTCCCAAATGTTGGGAAATATAGTCTGAACATATTTTAAGCTCTTTGTTACATATGTAATAATATATGCTCTTCTTCAACATTCAGACACCTTTTTATGCGAAGTCTCTACATTTAAAGCAATGGTTCCATTGTTAGCCTGAAAAATATTTATATACTAAATCAGCTACAGATGGGACCAAAAGTCATGGAAAAATAAAGAAAATGATATATTTGGGTACATTTTTAATAAATTAACCATTGAACACATTGCTTAAATGTAAAAGTTGAAGAAAATATATTGAGCATATTACAGTTTAAATAAATTAATTAAAATAAATTCATCTTCTGTTCCAAATAATCCACAACTCTGTAGATAGTGTGGATTAAAACCTAGCAATGGAAACTTGTTACATGTGCACATTTTATGAGTTTCATAAATTTATGAAATGTAGCGTTGCAAGGTCATGATTTAATATTGACTAGGAAAGATGCATGTGATGTTGCTCTGGTCAGAGATGCTAGGAATATATTAGAGACCCTTTTGAAGTTTTCAGTATAATTAGATGAGAAACCAAGCTTTCATCCTTCCATTCAATACATTGTACAAATATGAAGTCTTGCTTGTTACCTAAACTGTGAACTATAGCTATGTTCTGTTCAAGGATGTATTATAAAAGTATGTACATCTTTTACCATAAGGTTCACAACATTAATGTTAATGAATTTCATTTAGTTTTGTGACTCTTGTAATGTCATCTTTCTTTACTCTTGTCAGTGGGATCTTCACCGTCAGCAGTTCTTTGCCATGTTCATTAAGAGAGCAATGTTCAGTTGGCGCAACTGGATTTTGGTGTTAATGCAGATACTAGGACTTCTGGGTATTGTTTATTTTTTGATGAGAGATGGGGGCTCTACAAGAATCAGGGAAGAACCGGCCAGAGAAATGGATTTGGGACAATATGGTCAAACCATTGTTCCCTTCTCAACTTCTGGAAATTCTGATTTTACTCTGAATTTAATACAAAATCTTGAGACTATGTTAAAGGCTAAGAAACAAAAACTTTATGAAGTGAAAGGTAAGCTTCTTAAAAAAAGAAAATGACTGCTAGTAGATAAAGACCTGTTTGTGTCACTTCCAAAGAAGGGTCTTTACTGAAATGTTTAGCTACTTGCCTTTTTTTTTCTTGATAGCCAATCTCATAAAGGTAGTGAAACCAAAGGCAAGAATCATCTTTCAAGATTACTGGCCACATTAATTACTAATGAAGGTACTTTGAGTATGAGTAATCTACTAGTCATTTACTTCTAGGGAATTAATTAAAGTACCAAGTATTTTGTTTTGTAAAATTTAGCACAGATTTTTCACATAAAACCAAGCTCACAGTGTGGTATGGTGGTGATGAATCCTAAAGGCCCTATCTAAAAACAGGTAAACATGTTAGGCTGAAGGCTTTATGGGCAGGCTACTCAGAACTTATTTATTTGGAAGGTAATAATGATAATTGAGTGCATGTACTGAACACATACTTTTGGCAAGAAATTTTCTAAATCCTTCATGACTCACTTAATTTCTATAACAATCATATTTGCTGAAATTGGGAACACTGAGGTTTGGAGATACTAAGTGAGTTGCCTCAAATCAAGCACCTAGTACGAATTAGGGCAGGGACTAGGTTTTAAAACTGCCTGATGGGAATCTGCAATATTAACCTACACTACACTAAGTCATCCCTGTAAAAGGCAAGTTTAATCATTTCCTTCCAGGTACTTCAATTGTGTTTCCTTCAGCTGCTGCCTGGTTGACAGTGTTACTTTAGGTTAGCATATAGCCTGCACATTTGACAGGCTTTTCCTTTAGGTTCCATTGTGAGAGATGAAAATGCACTTGGAAATGTTGGTTAATTACTTCTACCATTAACCTGATTTTTTGTTGATACATATCATGGGCTGGGTGGCCTTAAAGCTCTCAGTAAATCACACATTTTTTCGCCTCCATTACAGGAGCAATAGATGAATATTTATTAATAAAAAATCACATGACTGTTCAGAAGAGAAGAGGAAAGAAACAAAAGGAATTTCCCTGATTAATAATGTGGTTCCTTTTTCCCTACATTATATTGTTTATACAAAAATAAAAAAGACTATATATTTTCCAGATATATTAATAATAAGACAATCAAATTATTTTTTGTTAATTCTTTTAGCATCTTGGAATTGTCTTAATTAAAAATTATTCAAGGCAAATATTGACAGACTGAAGGTAGAAAAAAACAGCTATACAATAAGTAGGAGGCTTCAATACCTCATTTTCAATAATAAATAGAACACCCAGACAGATGTTCAACAAGGAATGAGGGCATGAACAATAATATAGACCAACTGGACTTAACAGACAAAACAGAACACATCTCCCGACAAATAGAATACATATTGTTGTGTGCATAAGAAAGATTATTTAGAATAGACCATACTGTAGACCACAAAATATGTCTTAATAAACTTTAAAAAAATGGAATCATACAAAGTATACTTTCTGATCATAATTGAATGAAACTAGATAGGAATATCAGAAAGAAAACTGGAAAATAATATGTGGAAATGTAAAAAGCACCATTAAACCATCATTAGGTCAAATAATAGCAAGGGAAATTAGAAAATACTTTGAAATGAATGAAAATGTAACATATTAAAACTTAAGGAATATGGCAGAAGCACTGTTTAAATGCTTATATTGAAAAAGAAGAAAGCTGTCAAAGCAACAACCTAACTTTACACCTTAAGGAACTAGAAAAAAAAAAAAAACTAAACCCAAAGCTAGCAGGAAGAAGAAAGCAACAAAGATTAGAGCAGATACGTCTGTTCTCAGACAGCATAATCTTATGTACAAAAGACCCTCAATTTTCCATAAAAAAAAACTATTAGAGTTTATAAATTCAGAAAATTTGCAGGTTATGAAATCAACACACAAGAATTAGTTGCATTTCTATACATAACAAGGAACAATCTGAAAACAATTTCAATTATAATATCAAAAAAATAAAATACCTAGGAATAAACTTAACTGAGGTGAAAGACTTGTTAATGAAAATGACAATTTGTTGCTGAATTAAATACACAAATAAATGAAAAGATATTCTGTATTCATGGATTGGCAGACTTAATATTGTTTAGATGTCAATACTCGCCTCAAAAATCTACAGATTCAGTGCAACTCCTATCAAAATCCCAATTATTTGGAGGAAGAGGGGGAATTGAAAAATCCATCTTTAAATTCTTATTGAATCTCGAGACCTGAACAGAAATATTTTTCCAGCTTTATTTAGATACGATTGAAAAGTGACGTTTTGTAAGTTTAAGGTATACAATGTGCTGGTATGATATATTACAAAATGACTGCCACAATACGATTAGTTAACACATCCATAACCTCATAAAGTTACAATTTTTTTATCACATGGTAAGAACTTTAAAGATCTACACTCTGCAAAATTTAGGTAAACAACTATTGTTATTCATAGTTGTCATACTGTGCATTAGATCCCAGAACTTATGACTGGAAGTTTGTATCCTTTGACCAATATCTCCCCATTTCCCCTACCTCCCTGTCCCAGGATCAGGAAACTACCATTTCTCTCCCTCCCTCTCTCTGATAGATAGATAGATAGATAGATAGATAGATAGATAGATAGATAGATATTCATTAGTCTGTCAATTAGGTTGTTTCCATGTCTTGGATATTGTGAATAATGCTGTGGTGAGCATGGGGTGCAAATATCTCTTGAAGTGATTTTATTCGAAGTGGACTGGTTGGATCATATGGTAGGCCTCACTTTTAATTGTTTGAAAACCCCCATACTGTTTTCCATAGTGGCTATACCAGTTTACATTCCCACCGTTGGTGTACAGGGTTTCTCTTCTCTAAACATTCTGGTCAGGACTTGCTATCTCTTGTCATTTGTATGATATCCATTCTAACAGATGTGAGGTGCTATCTTACTGAGATTTTGATTGGTATCTCCCAGATGAACAGTGATGTTGAGCACATTTTCTTATACATGTTGGCTGTTTGTATGCCATCTTTGAGAAACCATCTATTTAGGTACTTGGCCTATTTTTTAACTAGATTATTTTTTTTCTATTGATTTGTATGAATTCCTTATATGCTTTGGATATTAACCCTTTATCAGATATGTCATTTGCAAATATTTTCTCCTGTTCCTTAGATTGCTTTTTCATTTTGTTGATAGTTTCCCTTACTGTGTAGGAACTTTTTAGTTTGATGTAGTCCCACTTGTTTATTTTTGGTGTTGTTGCTTATGTTTTCACTGTCATATCCAAAATACCAACACAAAAATGAATGTCAAGGAGCCTTCTCTCTGTTTTCTTCTAGGCATTTTACACCATCAAGATTTTTAAAAATTTTTTTCCATTTTTTAAAGAAAATTGGACTACAGTCCATTTACAATGTTGTTTCAATTTCTGATGTATAGTGTAATGTTTCAGTCATACATATACAAGGTTGCTACAAGATATTGAATATAGTTCCCTGTGCTATACAGTAGAAACTTGTTGGTTATCTATTTTATATATAGTAGTTCGTATCTGCAAATCTTGAACTCCCAACTTACTCTTTTCCACTCCTATTCCACCCTGGTAACCGTAAGCTTGATTTCTATGTCTGTGGATCTGTTTCTGTTTTGAAAATAAGTTCACTTTTGACTTTTTTTTAGATTCCACATATAAATTATATCATATGGTATTTTTCTTTCTCTTTCTGGCTTACCTCACTTAGAATGATGATCTCCAGGTCCATCTGTGTTGCTGCAAATGACATTTTATTCTTTTTATGGCTGAATAGTATTCTATTGTATAAATGTACCACAACTTCTTTATCCAGTCATCTGTTGATGAATGTTTAGGTTGTTTCCATGCTTGGCTATTGTACATAGTGCTACTATGAACATTGGGGTGCCTGTATCATTTTGAATTAAAGTTCCCTTTGGATATATGTCCAGGAGTGGGATTGCTGGATCATATAGTAAGTCTATTTTTAGTTTTTTAAGGAATCGCCAAACTTTTTTCTGTAATAGTCACACTAACCTACATTTCCACTGACAGTGTAGGAGGATTTCCTTTTGTTTTGATTAGTGTAGCTCTGTAATATTGTCTGAAGTCTTGGAGGGTTATTCCGCCAGCTTTGTTCTTTTCCTTGCTTTGGCAGTTCTGGGTCTTTTGTGATTCCATATAAATATTAGGATTATTCATTCAAGTTCTGTGAAAAATGTCCTGGGTAATTTGATAGGGATTGCATTAAATCTGTAGATTGCTTTGGGTAATATGCCCATCTTAACAGTATTAATTCTTCCAATCCAAGAGCATGAAATATCTTCCCATTTCTTTAAATCATCTTTCATTTTCTTAATCAGTTTTTTATAGTTCTCCGCATATAAGTCTTTCATCTCCTTGGTCAGGTTTTATTCTTAAGTGTATGTATGTATGTATGTATTTATTTATTTATTTATTTATTTATTTATTTATTTAATGTGGTTTTAAAAGGGATTGTTTCTTTATTTTCCTTTTCTGATATTTCATTGTTAGTGTAAAGAAATGCAACTGATTTCTGTATGTTAATCTTGTATCCTGCTAGCTTGACAAATTTTTTTATCAGCTCCAGGAGTTTTTGTGTGGAGCCTTTAGGGTTTTCTATATATAGTATCATGTTGTCCCCATATAGTAAAATTTTTACCTCTTTTCCAATTTGGATCCCTTTTACTTCTTTTTCTTGTCTGATTGCTATGGCTAAGACTTCCAATATTATGTTGAATAGAAATGATAAGAGTAGGCATCCTTGTCTTGTTCCAGATTTTAGTGGAAAAACTTTCAGCTTTTCACCATTGAGTATTATTTTGGCTAAGGGCTTTTCATAAATAGCTTTTATTATGTTGAGATGTGTTCCTCTATACGGTATATATGGTAACAGTTTTTATCATAAAAGGGTGTTGACTTTTATCAAATGCTTTTTCTGCGACTATTGAGATAATCGTGTGATTTTTGTCCTTTCTTTTGTTGATGCGGCGTATCACATTGATTGATTTGCATATGTTGAACCACCCTTGTGTCCCTGGGATGAATCCAACTTGATTATAGTGTATGATCTTTTCAATCTGTTGTTGGATTCTGTTTGCTAATATTTTGTTGAGGATTTTTGAATCTATGTTCATCAACAATACTGGCCTGTAATATTTTTTGGTAGTGTCTTTGATTTTTATATCAGGGTGATGGTGGCTTCATAGAATGAATTTGAGAATATTCCCCTTCAGTCTTTTGGAAGAGTTTTAGAGGGATAAGTATGAGTTCTTTGTATGGACACTTAAGTTACTTCCATGTCTTGGCTACTATAAATAGTGCTGCTATGAATACTGGGGTGCAAGTATCTTTTTGAATAAGAGCTTTTGTCTTTTCTTGATATATGCCCAGGAGTGAGATTGCTGGATCATATGCAAAGTCTGGTTTTAGTTTTTTAAGGACTTTCCATACTGTTTTCAATTGCAGCTGCATAAATTTACATTCCCACCAACAGTATAGGAGGGTTCTCTTTTTCCTACACCCTCTTCAGCACTTATTATTTGTAGACTTTCTGATGAATGAAGTTCTTGAATTGAATGGTCTAAGTGCGTTGGAACAGTTGTGAGATATTAGAAACAGAAAAAGTATCAGGCAAGTAGAATTATTGAGTTCTCTCTTTCTAAAATACATAGTAAGTGATCTGTATTGCATGCTGAGCCCGAGACCAGCATTGTTTTCTTATTCCAGGTGATCTGGAGGAGTATTTGGTGAATAGTCAAGAATGCATTTACTCGTGCATTATTGCATTTTCCATTGAGGTTAATGGAGACCAAAAGACAATTACCTTTTGGTTCAACGATGAGGCATACCATTCATCATCGTTATCTCTAGCGGTATTAGATAATATTATTTTTAAGTCACTTTCTGGCCCTGATGCTTCCATTACAATCATCAACAAACCTCAGCCTACACGTGTTACTACTGGTAAATCTACTAGAGGGTATGTATGCACTTTTATTTTAAGCTTTAAATAGATCCCCTATTCCCTATCTGACCATGTTCTTAATTAAAAGTTCATTTTAAAAGTTAATAAAATAATAAACTAGCTAATAATAATAAATTTAATTTATAATAAATAAATAATAATTAAAAGCTATTGTTAGAAAATTAGTATTTCCTACTTTGTTGTTTTACCAATGTGTTCTCTTTGTTCATTCTTTTGTAGAGGATTGTCAGGAATGTCTATAGCTTTAAATTTGTTTTTTGGAATGAGTATTTTCGTCAGTGGCTTTTGTCTCCTGACAGTGACTGAGAGAGTCACTAGGGCAAAGCACATACAGTTTTTGAGTGGGGTTTATGCCATTAACTTCTGGCTCTCTGCTCTGGCATGGGACTTCTTCATCTTCTTCATTTCCTGCTGCTTACTAATGGTGAGTATTAGACAAAGGATTTTAAGAGCTCATTCACTAATAAACCCCAGGAAATTTCTACTTGGCTAATATTAACTTAAATTTAAATTTCTCAAGAAAGATAAAAATTCCTTGGCTCATTATGTCAGAAAATACATTGTGGAATGTGTCCCATAGTGAAAATTTTCTATATACTTTAAAAAAAAATAAAATGCTATTGTTGCTGAAACAAGAATGTGTCTCTTGAGCTGGCTTCTGATATTCTTGTTCTTCAATATGAACATGCCACAAAGCTTCAATGAATATAGAAGGATACGACCAGTCGTACTAGAAGACCAGTCCCATATTAAACAAAGACAATATTTTACAAATATTTTTCTCCTGCTCCTGGTGCTTTCCCATCTTGTCATCTGTTGAGATTCCTTGTTATATAAGACAGTCCTTTGGGCAGCTTTTGCAGTTTCCCTCAAGAGATTTTAAAACTTTATATCATGAACCATTCAAATTTTGTGTTTGTGTGAGTTTTTGAGCATTTGAATGTTGAATCATTAGTGAAAAGTTACTGAAACACTTATTATTGAAAGCAACATCAGGATAATTTTTGGTCTGTTTATGCTTGTTACTTTCCCCTCCTTTTTTGTATACTTCTATCCTATGGGAAGGGCAGTGAGACACTGCTATAAAGTTAAAGCAAACCTATTTGTTTCTCTTAGACGAGATGTAGGGCTTGGAGGCCAGTTTCACTGGCTCCCTTGTCTACTAAAGGACTTAGGATCATTGTCCATAGGGCTGTAGAGTTGGAGTATTGTTCTGAGGAAGAGCTAGGATCCTACACAACCTAGAAAGATAAAAAGGATTAGACAATGAAAATGGCATGGAGAGCTCCAGGGTAGAGAGGGAAACGTAATATTCTTTCTGTTGCCATATGCACTACTGCAGCCAAGGAGTTCAGTTCTGCTTTCCTCTCTTGGCTTCCCAGACAGCCACTCAGAAAGGTAAGGACAAACTGCTAACTTTGTGACGGCCACTAATCTTTTCTGTCATCGCAGGAACTAACTGGGGGAGCTAATGCAGGTATTGCCTCATGCTCCATGATCTTCCTCCTCCATTCTCTACCAAACACCCCTTACCATTCTATTCTACAAAAATGGGCCAAGAGCTTGAAAATCTTAAAACTTTTATTTATCTTTTTTAAAAACTGTCTAGTTGCTTTAACTGCATGCTGCAGGTTTGATATATTGTTTGATAAATCACTAATTTCCAAATATTTTCTAATTTCTAGAATATCTTCAAACTGTGAGGTTTTCTAGAAATGTATGATTTGAGTCTAAGCAGTTTGAAACTGTATTCATATCTTGGTGTCACTTTTCTCTGAGATTATATGAATTATTTTATCCATTTGAAATATGTTGAGCCATATTTTATGATCTAGCATGTGGTCAATTTGGTAAATATTTTGTGCGTACTTGATAAGAAAATAAACTTGTACCAAGGTGGGGAGGTAAGGGGAGAAGGACAAATTAGGTGTATGGGATTAACAGATAGAAACTACTATACATAACAGAGATAAGCAACAAGGATATACTGTATAGCTTGGGGAATTATAGCCATTATCTTGTAATACCCTATGATGGAGTGTAATCCGCAAAAATACCGAATCATGATGCTACAATGGTTTCTTGGATGTGGCAGCAAGAGCACAAGAAGAAGAAATAAAAAGATAAATTGGACTTTTTGAAAATTGAAAAAAACATATAAATCAAAGAGCACTGTCAACAGTGAAAAGGCAATCCACAAAATGGGAGAAAATATTTGAAATTACAGGCTTGACAAGGAATTAATATCCAGAAAATATAAGAAATTCCTAAAAATTAACAACATACCCAATTCAAAAATGGGCCAAGAGCTTGAGTAGACATTTCTCCAAAGAAGCCCAATAAGTGTGTGAAAAGATGCTTGACGTCAGTAATCATTAGGGAAAAGTGAATCAAAACCATAATGAGATACCTCTTCATGCCTATTCAGATGGCTTCTATCAAAAAGAGAAAATGACAAGTGTTGGAAGGATGTGGTGAAACTGGAACTCTGTGCATTGATTGTGGGAATATAAAATGATGCGGCTGCTGTGGGAAAATGTACGGCACTTGTTCAAAAAATTAAACATAGAATTGCCGTATGATTTAGCATTTCCACTAACAGTAGGATCCCAAAAGAATTGAAAGCAGGAATTTGAACAAATATTTGTACATTCGTGTTTTTAGCAATAATATTCACAATAGCCAACTGGTGGAACCAACCCAAATGTTCACTGATGGATAAATAGATAAATAAATGTGATGTACACATATAATAATATATTATTCAATCTTAAAAAGTAATAAAATTATCATACATGTTACGACATGGGTTAAGTGATTGAATTCATTCCATTTCTCTTGAAATTGAAAGTCTGCTGTGACAGAAACAAATCAGCCATGCCTATAATATCCAAATAGTGATAGAGAATAGTAGCTATTTTCTGCTTAACCCTACTGTCCACTTCTCAAGGATGGTGCTACATAAGCATTTAATAGTTCACAATAGATAACTCTGGAATATTTGGAGAAACTACAATTAATAAACTTACACAATGTAAATCTCTGGAAACTTATTTTCCTTAACAGTGCTATGGGTTCTCTATTTCCTTACTTAGATCCCCTGTAGCTTTGGGCTTCCCTGTGTGCTTCTCACCTGAGTGTCTGAGATAGGGAGAGGAGGAGTAGGAAAACAAAGTAGAGCCAAGAGGCAGAATCTAAAAATAGAGAGCTGTGAAAAGTAGGTCCCTTATTATCACAGCTTCCAGCTTCCAGAATGAAAACCTTGACCCAAAAGTTTTCCTACTAGGTGATACAATTTCTGGAAATATTGAGAGTGGGTTTATTTGGGGTTGGGCGAAGAGGAAGACAGACGATCCTTTGATATTGCTCAAGGAGAACAAAATGAAACTGTTCCAAGTAGATAAAAACAAGTTTCAAGTAGATTAAAACAAGGAGAAAGGCAAGTAGAGGTCCTGCTCACTGATAAGGAAAAAGTGGAAGTACCTCGCAGTCATACTTACAAAATTATCTGATCAATAAATAGTTCTGTGTTCTAACAAAGAAAGATTCTCTTCAAGTTTTTAGACTTGTGTTCTCAGATATTTCAGTTTTCTCCACTTTGACTTGACTTCTCTGTTCTGTGTCTCAGGTGGTGTTCATGTGGTGTGGATTGGAATTATTGGTCAAAGATTACCACTTTCTGGACACATTCTTTATCCTCATGCTGTTTGGTTGGTCTGTCATTCCCTTCACATACCTGATAAGTTTCCTGTTTGCTAGTCATACCAGTGCCTACATCAAGCTCGTCATATTTAACTATTGTGCTGGGATTTTTGGTGTAATTGCAGATCTCTTACTAAGTGAAACAAAAGGTAAGGACTTAACACGATTTCCCTCTTTCCAGGGGAATGATTAAAGAGGAATTGGCTTGAAGATAAGAACATCACAAACTTGTTTGGTTCTGGGTTTCTGGGAAAAAATTATGCTAGTGATAAGTTAACCTTTTATTGTAGTGTCACTAATACTATAGGAATTATGTTGTGTACAATGCAAAACAAATTATGACACTAATATTTTCACTAACCCAATCCCCTTCCTTCAGGCCTTTTGATGCAGGATTTGCAGAATATTTATCTTTTTATTTTGAGATTCAGGAGAGATTGACTGGACTGGCAATGATCAGAAATAGGAGTTTCTTAGAAGACAGACTGCTGCCACTCTTATTAAATCACTCTACAAACATTAATCTGTTTTAAATAATCCAGTTACCCTTGGTCTTGCAGAGACTGAGAAGAATAGGTTTCCAACCCATTTACTGACCTTAGGCCTTGCCCTCCCATGAAAGAATTCCCTGAGTTAGCTGAAGACCTATTATAATACTCTTGCACACCTATTCAAGAGAGAATATTAAACTAGATGGGAAATAATCGATCTCTGAAGTAGACTACAAAACATGTAGTAACAAAAAAGAATAAAAACAATATAGGGAGTAACCTCAGCAAAACAGCCAAGTAGGCAGCTCCAAGCAACCAGCCCTCCACAGAAACATTAAAAAAAAAATCAGACACTTTCATAACCAACTCCATCAGAACTCTGGAAAATGGTCAAGGTTTACAACCAAGGAAATGCTGAATCAAGAAGAAAAATTTCAAACAGTGGGAAAGATTTGTAGTGTTTTTACACACATTTCCCGACCTTGTCTTTTTCATGGCAGCAGTCTTGAAGACACAGTCATTGTTCCCATTGTGGGACCTTTATCCCTATTTCCCTAGGGAGCTAAGCAGATCTTCACAAATTTGGGTATAGGTCTGTTCTCTTCTACCTGGGAGTTACCTGAAGAAATGATACGAGGCACTCATCTCTGTTTCACCTAACTCAGAACTCAGCAGGCATTAAAAGTAATAAGCATTGCTAAAAAATGTAAGGTCAATAAACAATTATCAGATGCCCAAGGAAAAATATGACAATTTATGCATGACACTGCCTAAGGCAAGAGACATACATCCACAGAAAATTACTTTGGGAAATTAGGGCATTCAAAATCACCCGTTTTAGACAGCCACACACATA